GTTCCCTCTTCCAATATTAATCATTTAGTTAGTAACTTCTCAATAACACCTAACTAGTGATTACTACCCTAACATCATTTTGACTATTTCCCTTTACCTCAATATAAATTAGGCCATAACATCAATTAGCTTTTATACAGGGATGTTTACTGAAAAGATGTAGTAGCTCCAAAGTACAAAAATATCCCCCTAAACCAAGACACTCTCTCCCCTCTACCCTTCAGTGCCTGTGAGAGTGGGCTCAAACTTAAAATGGCTGCTAGGAAACATACCTTCCACCAGGGTGCAACATAGTTAGGGGACAAATCGCTTTCTCAAGGTCATAGTCTACTCTGTTCCATTTCTAATATTGTTTCATCTTCCTTGCTTGAAAGTCACTGGGGATGGGGAGGAAGGGAGAATATAAATGAAAGACAGAGAAGAGAGGGGGGCGAAGGGGGGGGGAGACTGGGATGGAGGGAAAGAGAATAGCCACTATAAGGAAAAAAGGGGAAAGATTTCAAACAGACACCTAAAAATGAGTGGGGGAGTGGGCCTGAATTGAATTTGTTTACTATAAAAGGGCTACCTACATTGTATTGTGGTAGGTCTAGAAAAAACAATGGTTAGGTGAAAGTGGCAGTAATGATCCCAGAAAAGCAAGTGTTGAAGTCTGGCTTGATCCTTCCAGTAAAATAAATCCTATACTGGGGAAAAGGGGAGGCCCAAGAAGGGGGTACTTTTGTGAAAGGTATTAATTCAACTGAAAAGATCATAAAAACTGGACTCTTCCCTGACAGGGCAGGAACAACATTCCTCCCCAAGTTATCACACTAAAGCTGTTGGCAATAAACTGTTTAAGTAAAACAAAGGCTTATAAATGATTGAGATAATTTCCCATATCAAACTATTTTCATAAAGATAATGACTTTGACTTGAATGGTAGTTTTAATCATACAACTTTGAGATAGTTTTGTTCTATTTATATAGTGGTCATTGATCATTATGGATGTATTCTTTATGAATGTTGCTGTAAAAAAAAATTCAATGACAACTGAGTTGAACAGTAAATCATGGCAAAACTTACAAGCTTCGATAGAAATGATGGATCTTCACACGGAGGACTATCTGATAATCTACATTTTATCATTTCAAAAAAAATTTAAGAATATACATGCATACCAAATGTCTTTTTTAATGATTGCCATATCCATTTTATGACTGGAAATTTTTTGTACAAGACACTCCAATAAATGCTTTAAAAAAAAATGAACTCACTGAAACAGCAGAGAAATGGAACCATGTAGACCTGCAGGGTCATTATATTGTCCCTAGGTTTAAAGTAGGGAGCAGCTAGGTAGCACAGCGGGGTCACAAAGAGTTGGACAAGATTGGGATGACTGAACAATAAAGGCTTAAGTTAAATATTGTGACAGGGTACGACACTTAGCTAGGTTGGTCCTCAGGAAGAAGATAAAATAATAATTAACAAGTATTCGTTGAGTTCTTACTGTGCTAAGACACTGAAATATGAAAAAGGTATAAGGCATGGTCTCTGTCCACAAGAAAGTTAAAATCTAGTTGGACAGACCAGATATACACATAAAAAGATACCTAATAACGCAAAGTAGCATATAATAAACATTAAATTGGTAATATAAACAGTAACTACTATAGGATTTAAAAGAGACAAGTGTGGGGGCAGCTAGGTGGCCCAGTGGATACAGCACTGACCCTGAAGTCAGGAGGACCTGAGTTCAAATGTAGCCTCAGACCAAACTCTTGACACTAGCTGTGTGACCCTGGGCAAGTCACTTAACCCCAATTGCCTAAAAACAAAACAAAAAAAAAAAGAAAGAGAGAGAGAGATAAGTGTGAGCTGGCCAGGGTGATTGTGGAAGGATTCACCAAAATGGCCTTTGAAATAGGATTTGAAGAATGAGTAAGCTTAAATAGGTCATAAGAAGTTGAGAAGGTACTCTAGACAAAGAAAAATAAAATCCTTAAGATCATCAATATACAAAACATTCTTCATGTAGTTGCATATTTTTATGATACTGGCTAGAGACAGATATCCTAAGATGTTCTTAAATTCCTCACTGAGGATGCTAAGAATCACAGTTTTTTAAAATTTCTACAGACATTAACTTAACTGTTGGTTCCCTAAGTATGCAGTGTCTAATGATCATTAAATTGACATACTACAGGAAGAACTGAATCTTCTTATCATCATCATCTTCATTATCACTTCATAGTGAAAGTTATCTTGTTCTTAATTGAAATTTTTAATTTTAAAACCTTTAAACACTTATTTGTGGACTTTATAAGAATCAGTTTTTTGGAGGTCATCTCTTAGTTAAAGCCTAAAATAAGTTTCAATTTTAACAATCACACCCAATGATTCTCATATCATAGTCCATCCAAGTAGAGGTTAAGACATTCCTTATTTCTTGAAGTGAAGTTTTCATTAAAAAAATTTTTTTTTTAAATCCACATCACTTAGAAATAAATTACATGGAACTCCTTACCTAGCTAGCCCATTCCACTGAACCACTCTTATTTTCCTATGCTGAGACCAATCCCCCTTGTTGAAAAGTTATTTATTGTACAAGACTCAAGTGAAACATGAAGAGGTAAACAGGAAAGAGAAATCATAAGAGACTTATTAAGGTTGAACTGTTTACATTCCTGCATGGAAAGATGATATTTGTAACTCATGAGTCCTTTGTCAGTATTAGGGTAGTGGAAGGGGAAAAAATTATATGTATGGATAGATAGATAGATAGATAGATAGATAGATAGATAGATAGATAGATAGATAGATAGACAGACAGACAGACAGACAGACAGACAGACAGACAGACAGACAGACAGACAGACAGATAGATAGATAGATAGATAGATAGATAGATAGATAGATAGATAGATAGATAGATAGATAGATAGAGGGCACAGGGTGAGTTGAAGATGAAGGGGTGTTATCTGGAAAATAAAATTAAGGGGTGAGAAAGGATTATACTGAGAGAAGGAGAAAGGGAAAGGCAGAATGGGGTAAATATCTCACATGAAACAGATAAGAAAAGGTTTTTACAATGGAGGGAAAACCAGGGAAGGTGAGAGGGAAAGAGTGAATCTTATTCTCATAGGATTTGGCTTAAGGAGGGAATAACATAAACAATTGGGTATGGAAATCTATCTTACCCTACAGGAAAATAAGGGGGGAAGGGGACAAGAGAGCAGGAAGATTACAGAGGGGAAGGCAGATTGAGGGAGGGATAATTAGAAGTAAACACTTCTGAGGAGGGCCAGGGTCAAAAGAGAGAATAGAATAAATGGGGGGGGATAGGATGAAGGGAAATGTACTCAAGTTTTTCACAACACAACTACTATGGAAGTGTTTTTCATGACTACACATGTATAACCTGTATTGAGTTGCTTGCCCTTTCAATGAGGGTGGGTGGGGAGGGAGGAAGGGAGAAAATTTATAACCCAAAGTTTTAAAAACACATGTTAAAAAAAATTGTTTTCACATGCAACTAGGAAATAAGAAATACAGGAAATGGGGTATAGACATCTATCCTGCCCTACAGGAAAACAGAAGGGGAAGGGAATAAGAGAAGGGGGGCAGAGACAGAAGGGAGGGCAGATTAGGGGAAGTGACGTACAGAATGCATGCCATCTTGGGGTGGGGGGAGGGATGAGATGGAGAGAAAATTTGGAACGCAAAATCTTGTGGAAGTGAATGTTGAAAACTAAAAAGAAATAAATTTTTTAAAAAATCTTTCAGAAAAGTTATTTATTGATCCTAGTTCTGACCTCTGGGATCACAAAAAGTAAGTCTAATCTCTATCAATATGTAGTTAGGAGGTACATCCTTAATTTAATGAAAAGATACTTTTAACACCAAAACAACAAACTTCAACAATCTCATATAACAAGAGCTCTGCCCATAAACTTATTCTCTGACAGAACTCTAATGTAAGATTATGGGTAAGAGAAAAATTCAGCAGTAAATACCACAAGTAAGTTTCTCATTTTCGATAAAATCCATCTGGAAACTTGCAATAGTATACCTGAAGAATTCCATAGTGAAAAAAATCCATCCATCCATACTCATCAGTTCCTGAAGACTCTGTTTACTTATTTTAAATTCCATTCCTAAGATGTACCTCTACCATCTAAACCATACCTTTCTGTCTAGCAAAGCAGCATTTAAATGTTAGTCTATACTAGATAAAATTTACATGACATAATAACATGAAATATGCAGAGCAAACTATTATCAGGGACTTGAAGAGTTCTCTAAGGTTCCTGCTAGATCATATTATTTATAAAGAATTATCTGCACCTATTTCTTTCTGACCCTCTCAGTGCTCCTTATTTAGAAAGTCATCTTCATAGAGTGATGCTAATCCAAATCCCCAGTGCTCAGCAAAATGCCTGGTACACGAGTATTTAATAAATATTTACAGACTGACTGACTTCCTTTGATGGCCTCTTTCAGGATTCTTTGTCATTTTGTTACTCAGTTTTCCTCTTCTCTTGTCATAATGGATACTGGTTCTTGTGGATCTACCTTTTTAAAGTTTATGTTCTTTTATAATGGTCTTGTCAGAATTCTTCATATTCATCATCACATTTGATTGTATTTCATTACATCTCATCCCACTAAATTAATGTGCCACAATTAAAAAAAAAAGAATTATCTGAAGGAAAATGATCAAAATTCTATCATTATAACATAAAAATATAAAATTGTACATGGCACTGTGTTAGGCATTGACAAAAAGAACCATATACACATAATCCTGGCTTGTCCAAGTCTATAAACCCAAACAGACAACCCTGATATGGCTCTGTGTGTGTGTGTGTGTGTGTGTGTGTGTGTGTGTGTGTGTGTGAAAAAAAGATGGAATAAAAACATTAAACAATGTTTGCTTCCCGTATGAATGGGAAGTAAAGCATTACTATATAAAACACTATGTAGATCCCAATGCCACAATAAAGGACTAATTTGTTTCTGGGGATAAACAATTTGGATTTATTCAAAGTTACTAATCCTTAGGCTGTTCTTCTCAACTACAACACACCAAATACTTTCAGAGCTCCCTCAGTTGTCCAAGAGGTGAAACTACCAAAAAACATGTTCCATGATGTTGAATTCATCTGGAGGAATTTCAGATACTCCTTCTTGACATCTAAGGAGGGAAATGATGTCTTTGGACAATTTGCAAAAGCCATTACGGATACACACATCTGCCAGTTCTTGCCACTCCTCTAAGGAACAAAATGGATCAGCTGTCATAAGTTTTTCTGTTGCCTCTGGGAGGGAAAAAAAACAAACACCACCAACAGCAATTTATAATATCTGTCCTTTATTCAGTGTCACCCACACTTGCTTGTAAAATTCTATTCTATTCTACTCGCTGCCCTCACCAGGGAGGCAGTAGTTCTTTAGGTCCACTAGGGGAATAAAGGAGAGAACCAGGACCAGGATTCAGACTCACTTTATTTCATATTGCCTGCAGTTTGCCACTGTTAGTGCCAAATAGCTATCTGGAACCCTACAGTTCTATTTTCAGCATACACATAATCCTATATTTGAGAAATATTTCTTTAAACTAATAATCCTAACTCTGAATAGAATGATGGGGCTTTCTAAATTATTTTTTTCTAAAAGAAACAGACACAAAAGAATTTCACTTGCTAGAGATGCTAATGATGTTCATTTAATTGTGAAAATTAAATTCTCTCAGCAACCTATAATATCAGAGTATTTGAGGGGTTCTCTCCTGGACCACCAAACATATCATGTTTTGCTTCCTGCAGCACAGCCTTTATATGGGTAGTAGAATACTACTATCCTTTAAAAATCTATTCTACTAAAATGTTCTTTCCATACCCAATACCTCTGTGAATGTACAAAGAACAGTAATTTCAAGGTAGAAAAATCAACCATAAATATGGTTGCCAAAAACTTCTACTCTTCATTAGTGCTCTATCTACTGGTTCCTTTCCTGATATCTACAAACAAACTCAAGTCTCCTTCATCCTAAAACAAAACAAAACAAAACAAAAACAACAACAACAACAAGAGCCTTAGTAAATCCTAGAATTCCCATTACATAGTATCCTATCTCTTCTTCTTTTCTCAGCTAAACTCCCTGGGAGGAAAAATATGTAATATTTGATGCTTCCACTTCCTCTCCTCCCACTATCTTCTAAATTGTCTGCAGTCTGGCATCTGACAGCATCACTCAAGTGACACTGCTTTCTTCAAAGTTACTGATATCTTCACTGTTAAGGCTAATGGTCTTTTCTTAGAACTCATCATTCTCGACCTCTCTGAAGAATTTAACTATCCTTTCCTTTCATATACTCTCTCCTTTCTGGATTTTCTTTACACTGCTCTCAAGAGCACAGGGACCACAGTGGGAAGAATATATTGCTTATATGGTAGAACAGAAATATCATCATAGAAATGATGAATGTATATGTTTACTTCCTTTTCTTCTGCCTTATGCTTGCTAAAGTTTCTAATTTCATCTTACTTCTCTGATGACTTCCCTAAGAAAATGTGTGTCAGATCTAGTTAAAGTCATTGAGATGGCAACCTCTTCATTTAAATTTTTTACAAGTTAAATCTTATCAACAGAGGTTATAAGTGGTGCAGGTCTATGTTAACTAACATTTTAAGTCTTGATTCTCTACACAGCTGATAATGAACTAACTTATGACCAGTAACTTTATTTTCTTATTCCTTCATTAAGAACATTTTGCTAAACTTACCCTTCTCATTTTTATCTAGTTCTTGAAGTAGACTTAAGCCAGAATTTTTCATTCCAATGGAGAAGAAATGAAGTACAATAAGACAAAAAGACAAAAATGGTGGCTCCCCCTTCCATTCACTAGTAAGACAATTAATTAATTCAATTTGTGGACACATTATTACTATGTCCATAAGGTCACCTGAAAGTAAAAATAAAAAATGGTATCCCCATATAATAATGTAGTAAACAATATAGAAATCTATGGTTTTAAAGATTTAAATATTACAAAGATAGCACACAAGAAATGCATTCTTAGCAGATATATTCAGTCTTTTCTATGTCCTGTACAGTGCTAATATCTTGTTATTTGCTCCTCAATTATTAGATATAATGATTGAGAAAAACATCAGGACAAGACCAAAAAAGCTAAAAAAGAAAATGGCACTATGACATGCTAACCTCTCCTTCTTGGCATATCCTCTCTCTATCACTCTCACTCACAGTATATCCCCATTCTTGTCTAGCCTCAAACTTCACAATTTACTATCTTCTCAAACCATTCTAGACATGAAATTACTACCATTATTATAAAAATATAAAAAATTCTCAAAACTCTGTATAGAAATACAGAAGATTTTTAGTTAAAATAATTATCATGACTGGCAATGAAATGTAATTAGAAAGAGCCCTGGACAAGGAGTCAGGCAAACTGTATTCTCATCCTCCTATTTGTGAAATGCAAACTATTATATTTTTTGTGGGTTTCACAGATACTATTTCCATTTAGAAAATAAGGAAATTGAGACTAATGAGGTTCAATAATTTTTTCATGGTCACACAATTAGTCATAAATTGTCGTAAGTTGTTCCCATGCATGCTTTAAAAACAGTTATCTTCAGGCTCCAAGTCCTGTGTTCTTTCCATTTTAACTGCTGTTCTTAAGCTAGGATCCACGAAATTACTTTTTGATAGCTGTATTTCAATATAATTGATTTCACCTGTCATCTGCCTCAATACTTCAAAGCATTTGTGATTTCACTGATATGGGTATTTTCTCTATCAGTGAAGATTGCAACCCATTCATGACTTCTAATCAGGTAAAATTTTTGATTATGTCCATCCATATATCCTTCACAGATGATCACCCAAAATGCTAGAGGTCTTCTTCTAAGACTTTTTACATTTTGTAGACAAGAGTGGATCCCTCAGGCTGTTACCTTTCTTCTTGCTGCTGCATAACCAACACAATTAGTTTACTTGTTATACATTTCTTCCATAATATTTCCTATACTAGTTCTTGTGTACATATAAAAATATTCTATAGCTAACTTGCATCTACCATGTCAAATCCTACCTTCTGCATGACACCTTTTCTAGTCTTTCTAGCACCCCCTCTGAGATTACCTTTCTCTGTTCCGTATGTATTTTATATGTACCTAATTATCTACATGTGTCTCCATTGGAATATGAGCTCCTTGAGGGCAGGGACTGTTGTTTTTGCCTTTCTTTGTATTCCTAGTGCTCAATGGAGTGCCTAATACATAGGAAGAGCTTAATAAATACTTTCCATGTATTTCTCTATTGACTGTTAGGTTCCTTGTAATTATGATGCTCTAAAATTCTTAATTGTACAACATTGCTAGTGTGGAAATGGGTTAAAAATATGGGTCTTTGCAACTATAAGTGGGATTGAGATTATTGAAAGTACTACAATTTCTCAGTTGCGAACCAGTCTGTTCTCTTCCTCCTATTCAATTCTGGACCTAATCACTGTCTATATTCAGTGCTTGATACAGATTTATGTATAAATTCAGTGGGTAATAGACATTTTTCATTCATTTAACTTTTTGTATATGAATTGTTAGGCCAATCTTTTTTAATTTTAAGAGGTGGGGGAGCTCACCCTCTTGTTCTCTTTGGGATTTCAAGAGAACATTAGTCATATTCTGTTTGAGAACTTATTTCCCAGGCACCTTAAGCAAAGCTCATCAGTGTTGAGAGGCAATGTGACAAATGAAATGCTGGAGTTGGAACCAAAAGACCTAGATTCAAATCCTACCTCTAACACTACTGTGTTACTTACCCTGAGCAAGTCTACTTCCAATTTTTGTAGTAGCAGGTTGTAGAATAAGGAACGGGAAAAGAAAGGACTTGAGCAAATTAAGAAGAAAACTGTATAGGTAAGTTGGATAGGTTTGGACTAGTGAAAAAAGTCAGATGTCAGATTTGGGAAAAGTCAGATGTCAAAATTTGGGAAAAAACTGAGGAAAATACAAAGAACAATCTCTCTAGTCCAGATATTGGTCTAGATTCTACTTCTGAGCTGTAAAAGAAACAGGACCAAGGACAATTAAGGAGGATATAAAACAATGAAGGGAGATTAAGGGGAACAAAGGAGGATTGAAGAAATGAACCTTCAGAGGTAGATTCAAGAAGGAGAAAAGGCCAGATAAGCAAAATAAGTAAAAAAAGGTAAATGGAACAATTAGAGAGTTAAGCCAATTGGTAAGAATGGCTGGTAAGGAAAACTGGTAAAATTGGTTAAAAGGACTAGAAGTAGGTGCAAAGCTAAAGATGAGTATGGCAATGGCTGTGGAGTTGGTGGTACAAAGGTAAGGAATTTGAATGAGGCTGTAAAAAAGATTTAACCAAGAGTGGTTGAGATATAAACATCCACAAGCAGTTCCAAATAATAAACTGGAAAATCTAAACTATTAGGGAAGTAGGGGAAATTGCACAATGACAACACAATTGTGTGTCTTGTTTGTATTTCGGTCACAGCCAAGGATCTGTGCTCCAAGTGTCAATTTCCCTCTTTGATGAAAATGTGAAGGGAGTTGAAGAATAACGCTCTACACTCCTAATTATTAGGGAAAATGAAGGGTTTTCTAAAGGAAACATAATTAAGGATGCAATGAAGAGGAAAAAATGTGCTTGTCCATAAATTATGTGTAGATCTTTTATTTTGTCCTCCCAAGATTGATACAGTGGTCTCACAAATGATTGAGAGATTATCTGCCGAAGGGCAGAGGAAGAAAAGAGGAACAATAGTAGTAGTAGTAGAGTAGTAGGAGTAGTAATAGCAGCAGCAGCTGGTGATTTCCTAATCAGGGGTACTGAGGTAGCTATTTGTTGACCTGATAATAACAATAAAGAAATCTGTTGTCTTCCTGGAGCATGTATTCAAGACATAATGGAATCTTACAAGTCTTATCAAAATGGATGACAGCCCCTACTTCTGGGGATCCATGTGTATACAAATGATACCTCTAGAACAAATCTGAAAAAAAGTATTTTCAGTGATTATGAAGTCATGGACCAGAAACTGAAGACCATGAGGCGCAAGTTACATTTTCCTCATTATTGGCCAATGAAAGCAAGGGATACAGTAGAAAAAATAAATTTGGGAAATGAATAACTGGATAACAAATAGTGCCAGAGAGTGGGATTTTGATTTCTGGATCTCAGCTTACAATACAAAATTGACAAATTCCTGGCCAGAGATGGCATATACCTAACAAAGGCTGGAAAAAATGGATTTGCCAGGTGTTTGGCTCATCTAATTAAAAGTCTTTAAACTAAAAAGGCTGGAAGGAGAGAAGGAGAAAAGACTATTTATGCATATTCTCTAAGTCAGACACTATAGAGAGTAACCACAAAAAAGAATGAAGACTAGCAGTAGACACTCACTGGAGACAAAATCTAGCTTGTAACAAAACCCATGGCCTCAAATGCCTATGTATCTTTTTTCATTCCTCATTCTCCTTGACCTTTCCGCAGCCTTTGACACTGTTGATTACTGTCTCCTCCCTTATACTCTGTTATCTCTTAATTTTCAAAACATCACTCTCTCCTGGCTCTCATCCTACCTATCTGACCACTCATTCTCTCTCTTCTCTGCTGGAGGAGACTACTTACTTTTCACCTGGTGATCTCATCAATTTCCAAGGATTTTCATCTCTATGTTAATGATTAGCAAATCTACCTATCCTTTCCCAATCTCTCTGCTGACTTCTAATCTCACATCTCCAACTGCCTTTCAGACATTTCAAACTGGATGTTCAGTAGACATATTAAATCCAACATGTTCAAAACTGAACTCATTATCGTCATCCCTAAATCTCCCCTGACTCCTACCTTCCCTATTACTGTAGAGGGTAACACCATCCTCCTATCCTTCAGGCTCACAACCCAGGACTAATCTTGGATTCCTCACACTCTCTCACTGCGCCCCCACATCCAATCTGCTGCCAAGGGCTGTTGATTTCACCTTTGCAACATTTCTCAAATATGCCCACTTCTCTCCTCTGACACTGCCACCATTCTAGTGCAGGCCCTCATCACCTCATGCCTCGATTATCACAATAACTTGCTGGTGAGTCTGCCTGACTCAAGTCATTCCCCACTCCAATCCACCCTCCATTCATCCACTAAAGTGATTTTCCTAAAGCAGAGATCTCACCATGTCTCTTTCTCTCTCTCTTTCTCTCTGTCACACACACACACACACACACACACACACACACACACACACACACACACCCCTAAAATAAACTCCAGTGGCTCCCTATTGGGCTCTAAGATCAAATACAAAATGCTCTGTTTGGCATTCAAAACCTTTCATAGCCTAGCCCCCTCCTATCTTTCTAGTCTTCTTACACCTTATAGGCACCCCCCCCAAATACCTCAGTCCTAGCTTCCCAGATGTTTCATGAACAAAACGCTTGAGAGGGGGCAGGTAGGTGGCGCAGTGGATAGAGCACTGGCCCTGGAGTCAGGAGGACCTGAGTTCAAATCCAGCCTCAGACACTTGGTACTAGCTGTATAACCCTGGGCAAGTCACTTAACCCTGATTGCCTCAACAACAACAAAATAAGACACTCCATTTTTAGCTCTGTCTATTGACATCCCAGGCTTCTTTTAAGTCCCAATTAAAATCTCATCTTTTACTAGAAACTTTCCCCAATTCCTCTTAATTCTTGTCCCTTCTCTCTGTTAATTATTTCCTACTTATCTTTGTATACATTTGGTTGTATGCTATTTCCCCAATTAGATTATAAGCTCCTTAAGGACAGGGACCATCTTTTGCCTCTTTTTGTATCCCTGTCTGGCACACAGTAGGCAATTAAAAATGTTTATTGATTAATTGATGTACAATGCATAAAATTTAAGCCAACAAGAGGAAACAAAGATCTTAAAACAAGGGGGAAATTTGCCCTCATAGGTATCACTGAGACTTGAAATGAAACCCATCACTGGATTACAGCTCTGTATATCTTATTCGAAAGACAAAGTGTAAATAAAAGGGAGCAGGGTAGCTTTACATATTAAGAAGATATATTCCTACACATAACTGAGAAAATAGACACATGATAGATACATAGATAGATAGATAGATAGATAGATAGACAGATAAATAGATACATAGATATTAATAAAAGATATACTCCTGTGAGGATATCTAAGAACTAGAAGGAGAAGCAGGATGGAGAATATTTTGGTGAAGGTCAAAGCAGGGAGAAAAATAAATGATTTTGTCACTGGATTATACTACAAACCACTTGAACAGAAAGAGAGGAGAGATGAGAAGTTTGGAAAAAAGATCATAAGCCCTGCACAGAGGTGTGATATAACAGTCATGAGGGGCTTCAATTATCTAGCATCTGCTAGAGCCATCTTTCTAACAAAAGCAAGTTCTTGACTTGCTTCAGGGATAATTTTATCCTTTAAAAGGTAGATGAAGCAAAAAGAGGGAAATTATATTCTGGATTTCATTCTCACCAACAGAAAGGAACTGCTTATTGTGGTGAAAATGATAGGAACTTAGGAAGGAAATGATCATTCCATCCCAGACAGCTAGGATCTCATAGCCTAAAATTCCACCGGGGAAGTCAGCACAGGACACATGAGAGACTCAAGAATTAAATTCTGAAGACACAAAAAGAAATAATTAGAATAAGAAGGAAAAATGGAATTTGATTAAGTGACCAATATAGATATACAGAAAAATTACCAATAAACTTAGACTTTAAAAAGAAATATACAGAAAAATTAAACAAGATTGTGAGCCAGTCCTGTAGAAATAGTGTGAGGAATAGTAAAGCTTACAATGAGTTGAGGCTAGAAATGGAGGCTAAGAACAACAACAAAAAAGGCATTTTTAATTATATTGGGAGAGAAAGGAGTTCAGAGAAGGGATAGGACTTTTGCTTTGAGTGGATGGGACAATGCTAATTGATACCACAGAGAACAGACAGGTGCTATTTTTCACTTCTGTTTTCTCTTCAAAGAATGACAATCCCAAAGGAAACAGCAAAACAAAAATCACTTCTCAGGAGTTGACACTCAAGGTAAGTGAGGAGAGACCTGCCCTTGATGAATTCAAGTCATTTGGCTACATTGAACTACACTCTTGGTCCTGAAAGAGCTGGCAAATGTGATTGTCAGAGATATTTGAAAATATCATAGAAAACAGGAGAAGTATCACAATATAAGAGAAGTTCAAATGTTGATTGTGTTTTTACAGGGGGAAGAGAATAGAATCTGCAAACTATACACTAGTGAACATGACTTCAATTCCTGAGAACATCCTGGAACAGGCCACTAAAGAAACAGGGAGCATTCAGAAAGAGAAGCAGTGATTAGAAAGAGCTAGTGTAGCTTCATTAAGAGTTGGTCATGCCAAGGGGCAGCTAGGTGGCGCAGTGGATAAAGCTCCAGCCTTGGAGTCAGGAGGACCTGAGTTCAAATGTCACCTTAAACACTTGATACTTACTAGCTTTGTGACCCTGGGCAAGTCATTTAACCCTGATTACCACACACACACACACACACACACACACACACACACACACACACACACACAGAGAATTGGTCATGCCAGACTAACCTCATTTTCTTTTTTGTCAGGATTATTAAACCAGTAGGTGAAATTCAGTAGGGATAAATGTAGTCTTGCACTTGGGAACAAAAAAATTAACTTCACAAATACAAGATGAGGACACCATGATTAGGCAGCAGTTGTTTCTAAAAAGATATTCGAGCTTTAGCTCTTCTTCAAGCTCAAGATGAGTTTACAGTATGATGTGGCAGTTAGAAAAGCCAGTGCAATCTTGGGCTGCTTAGGAGGGTCAGAGGTCCCAGAAAAGAGAAGTGAGAATCCCACTGCCCTGGTCAGGCCTCATATGGAGTGCTGTGTTCACTTTCAGACACCACGGCTTACAAAGGAGAGAGGCAAAAAGGAGAGTGTCCAGAGGAGGCGACTAGGATTGTGAAGAGCCTTGAAGAATCCATGACATGGGAATCAGGTGAAGAAATTGGGTGTGTTTAGCTCAAGACCACAGAATCCTTGGGAGAGAAAAAAATGCATGATAATGGCCTTCAAGTAACTGAAGGCCTATGATGTAGAAGAGGAATTAAACCTGTCACCTGGCCCCAAAGGTATAAACCAGGAGCCGTGGGTGGATAATCACGTGTCAAGTGTGTCGTGAGTTGTTGTGTATGAGTTGGACTAAATGGCCAATGGTTCCGATTTTATAACTTTATGAAAGTTGTTTAACCTTTGTCAGTCTTCATTCTCTCACCTGTGAGATGCGGGAGGTTGGCCCAGATGGTCTCTAAAGTCCTTTCCAGTTCTAAATCTATCCTCTTATGGTGCAATAATTCAAGCACACCCAATCGGAAAAGATGGGAATCTGGGTGACAGACAACCAGCCTTCTGATAATGAACTAAACTTAGGTAAGACAGACTCAAACAATAGGCATAAGGATACATCACCAAGCTAGCACTAGAAGTATCTCCAACTAGGACCTAAGAGCAAACATGGTACAAGTGAAAGTGTTCTGGCTTTGAAGTCACAGGACCTGTATTCAAATCCTGCCACTAATTCCTTGTATGACCACTTCAAGTCTGTTTCCTTATCTGTAAATGGAGAGGGTTGTACTAGATGGCCATTAAGTCCTTTTCAGCTCTAAATCTATGACCCCATGAAAGCTTGTGCTCTGGTGGTACAGCATTCTAGAATGCAGGATCACCACCACATCAGAATGAGGAGTCAAGAGAATTGCTTTATTAGATGAAGCATATTCAATAAGATTTATTTTTAATTATGCCCTTTAAAGATTAACTTATTGCTATATTATTAGTAGTATTAATGGACGTTGATTATGCACAATAAATATTCACTGATTACAAAAATAAATTTGCTCCAACTTAATTCCAATTTAATGTTTGAATTATTATGTACACTTAAAATGCATTCCGTAAATTGAACCCAAAATATCATCTGTTGTCTCATAATTAGAACCCCTAACATAAAGATTATGAATGAAAGCTAATGAATCATTTTGCTGTTTACCATAAGAAAAGTTTTTGAATTGTTTTATATATTCCATGGCTCCATAAATCTGACCCTGTTTACACAGGCAAAGAACAGCTTTCTTGTGCAGACCACATTCACTGTAGATAATCTGGGCTAAAGCTAGGCACTTGGACTTGTCGTAGGCATTCTGTTCCCCATACTGGCAAATTACATCCCCAGCTTTTTCAGAAAATGTTACTCTGGGGAAAAAACATCAATAAAGCACATATTAGAGGTTTGCTAGTAAATACGTGAAACTCTGAAATATTTTACAATCCAGTAAAATAAAACCTGATTTTCTTTTTTTGTTTTATTTTTAAAATCTGATTTTCTATAGTGTTTAAGCTTTCCAAGACAATGAAGAACCAATAAACACAATTGCTTTGTATCTGCTCTTAGGATTCTTGGGATTAAACCAATGCATCTGAATCTGGTTTGTGATGGTGGTTTTGTTTTTTTAGTGAAGAAGGAAATGTTTACTTTCCCAAAGCTGTTGGAAAGTTAAAACTTGTAAAAAAAACTAAAACCTTACTTTTTCTGATAATATTTAAACTACCAGGCAAAAAGGAACTCACATACAATGGGAATCTTTCATAGTTTTGGACTTTTCATTAGACTTTGTTGCCATGTCAAAGAAGGCACTTAATAAATACTGGTTGATGATAATGTGACTCTATACCTCAGTTAAGAAGTTGGTGGATTTTGTTAGCTTTTTTCAACCAGTCTAGTTTTTATTACATCTAATAGTATTTTCTTGTTTATTATAAGAACTGATCAGACAATAGCAAAAGTAATAAAGTACTATGAGAGTAAGGATAGTGAACTAAAATGGGACTTGAGAGCTGCGTTTAATACCCAGTTCTTCCTCTGATTTGGTTCTGTGACCTTGACCAGATATTTGTATCATTACATTAAAGTTTACAAGTAAAAATTAATTACCATCAGGGTGCTGAAGATAATGTCAAGAACCATGAGCTAACAAGAAAGAAAAAAGCAATGTTTAAAAAATCTTCTAGAGATAAAGAAGCAACAGAAAAAATGGCCATTTCTTTGTCTACCTCAGAGTGAAGTTGTTTCAGAAGGTAAGACAATTAACATGGGTTTTTATTTAATCCCATGTGATTATAAAGGAGTTGTTTTATGAAGGTTAAGTGAATAATTATAATAATTTTACCTTTATAATTATGTTAGCTAAATAAATAGTTGGAATTTTTTAGAATTAATGCATCGAATTTCAAAAGACATTAACTCCGATTCCTAGTTTTCTATAGATTATACTCTAATAATAATTTAGTTATATCTACAAGGAGTAAATATACAATATCAGCACCTGTAAATAACTGACAGTATCCAGGAACTAGCTATAGTTCTTAAGTAGGCTGAACAAGAGAATCCCAGTTCTTGCTCTAATAACAGTCTTCTAGTCTCAGAAGATGAGGTGAGCTAGCTACAGCTCCACCCAAACCAGAAGAAAGGAATTCAAAGCCCTTGACATTTCTTTAATGATAGCTGTTTCCTGGTACTGCTGGAAGGTTTCTAAATCCCAGTCATGCCTTGCAAAACCCTCAAGCTTACAATACCTCCATCATTTTCCAAATCTCAATCCTAGGTTACTCCACTGTCTTACCTTCTCTATTCCTACTTCTTTGCTATTGAATGCTTCTGGAGGAATTTATGCAATAATGTTAACTGGGCCCAGTACAAAATCATGTTGTCTAATTTCAATTGCTTCTCTACGAGTTAGCTATTCCAAACCTTCTCTGTCTTCAAGCTCCACAATTTTTAACCTCTTACCTCTCAGCAGAAGATCTAAAATTCTACTTTTATAATTAAAGCTATCCACCACAAACTCCATCTTCTCTCCTATGCCACACCTAAAAACCTCCTTACGTTGTCCCCATCTTTTTCTTTGTTCCAGTCTCTGGGAAAGAGGTGGCTCTTGCCAAGAGGACAATGACTCTTCTTATGCCCTCAATCCCAATCCTGTCTGACTCCTTAATAAATCAAAATCACACATCCTACAAGTGCCCAGCCTTTATTTGAAGACCTCTGCCAGAAAAGTTTGGGTATACCCCTCTCTTCGAAGGCAGCCCACTCCACTTTTCTGAAAGCTCTGTTAGGAAATCTTCTCTTACATCAAGCCTAAATTTGTCTCTTTTCAAGTTTTACCCTTGCTCCTCCTTCTTGATCTTTGCAGCATTTGACACTACTGACCATCTTTCTGCCTGGATTCTCATTCCCCTATGTCATGAACCCTAATTGGAGGTATCTCTCATAGTTCTGTCTTGGGCCATGCCTCTTCTACATGACATTCCTTCAAATACTTGAAGACCAATTATGTTCAATCTCCAAGATGACCCTCAGTCTTCTCTTCTCCAGGTGAACCATTCTCACTCTCTTCAATTAATCCTTAAATGGCATGAACTAGAAGCCCCTCATTCTAGTTTTCCTCCTCTGGACTCTTTCTTCAGCTAACCAACCTCCATTCTACAATATGGTCCCTAGGTCTGAACATAAATCTGCTCAGAGTAGGATACAGCATCATATCCTTAATCCTAAAACACAATTCCTCTCTGAAGGAAGAGGCAGCCAGCAGCACAGCAGACAAAGCACTGGACCTGGAGTCTGGGAGAATTGGTTCTAATCTGTCTGGAGACACTTACTTGCTGTGAGTTACCCTAGACATGACATACTCTCTATCTGCCTCAGTTTCCTCATTTGTAAATTGGGGATCATAATAGCACCTAGCTTATTGTGAGGATCAAATGAGATATTAGTAAACAGCATTGCAAACCTTAAAGCACTATGTAAATACTAGCTATGAGTATCTTAATGTAGCTTCAAATCATATGAGCTTCCTTGACCATCACACTTTTGAGCCGTATTGAATTTCTGATTCACTAGAATGTAACATCTAAATTTTATTTTTAAAACTGATAAAAAATATCCACAGGCAAAACCCAACCCCCAATAAATGGTCAATGGACCTGAATGAAGGAAGGAAAAATGATTGTTTAAGCACTCCTATATGCCAAGTATTAAAAATCTAAGTATTAAGTACTTAGCAGAATGCTAAGTACTAGAAATGCAAATACAAAAGTGAGATAGTCCTTGGCTTAGAATTTACGTTCTCATAGAAGGAGACAGTACATATAGAGGAATAGTGGCCATGGAAGGCAGTTCTGGTCTGAGAAGTCATAAGTATAGATGAGTTGATCCAGAAGCAACAGTAGCATTGATTTGAATACTGTTCCCCAAACAAGAGGTGAAATAATAACAACAGTTAACATTTACATAGCACTTACAATGTGCCTGGCACTGCACTAAGCATTTGACAATTATCATTGGATCTTCATTTAAAAAATGTGGAACAGGAATACGTCATGGCAAGATGACCAGAGTAGACAGCTAGATCGAATGCGAAGCATAGTCTAGTCTAGGGCCAGCTAGATACAGTAGGTCAGGTAAATTTATATTCATTAACTCAGGCAGCTTATTGCGCTCAGCCCCAGGGCTGAAGTTCTAAAACTGAGTGGGGAGAGTAAGTATGGTTTCTGGAGGTCCAATATGGAATATACTATTTCATGTGGGAAAAAGTACACGGCTTCAGCAGGGCCACTGGCAACATGGTTGGAGTAAACAGCTGGATGAAATGTAAAACGTAGGGATAGCTAGAAATAGAGGGCTAATGAATCTGCACTCACTCATTTACCAACCAAGGAAGCTCAGCTGCAGGGCAGGTGCTCTAAAGCTGATTGAATTAACTTTCCCAGAGTCTGAGGGCAGGATTATTGGAGATCCATCTGGGTGCTGTTCCAGGTAGGAAGAAACAGGGCAGCTTACAGGACTGGTGGCAAGATGGTCTGTGTGGGTAGCTTGCTAGGCTATGAAGCAGAGCCAGGACTGGGACTACCTAGATGAATTTGTGCTCACACACTAATGAAGGCAACTCAGCCCCAAGTTTGGAGTTCCAAAGATGAGTGGCTTAACTCATTTTACTATTACTATTACAAAATGAATTTATAAAAGAAAAAAACAAATAAAATAATCACTTGGGAAAGTGTCTCTAACTAGTCATTGAAGAAAAAATTAAAATAACCTTGAAATATTACCTCATACCCATTAAAATAGCCAAAATATTGCCAGTGGACTTTGCAAAAGCAAGTACTCTTACACTGCTTGGGGGACTGCAAACTGGTGGAAGGCATTTGGAAAATACATTCCTAAAGTGAGGGAAATAATCATACCCTGAACCTAATAATCCAATTATTGGAAATATATCATGACAAATGTGGAAATTTGTTTTGATTGACTATATGTATTTATAATGGAGTGTGTGTACACAAGCTTTCAGTGGGGAGAAGGAGGGTGGAGGATGGATTGAAGTGGGAGGGTGAGAAGACAGATTTTGGCTGATTAAAACAAGTGAAATATTTTTAAATAAAAAATATTCTAATAATATGATTAAAAAGAAAAAAGTATATGTTCAAATATACTTGTGGCACTATTATTTGCTATCACAAAAAACTGGAAATAACCGTAATGTTGCTTTGGAGTAGTGGCTAAATAGGTGACACAGTAGATCTGGAATACTGAACTTGGAGTCAGGAAGACGCAAGTTCAAATCTAGCTTCAGAAACTGCTGGCTATAGGTCACCCTGGGCAAGATACTTAACAGCTATCTATGTCATTTTCTTCATCTGTAAAATAAGGATAATAATAGCACCTCAAAAGTTGTTGTAAAGATCAAATGAAGTAATATTTGTAAAATGCTCTTTAAACCTTGAAGTACTACATAAATGCAAGCTATCATTATAAACTGAAATATATCAATGTATAGAAGCAGCATGGCATAGTGAATAGAGGACCAAAAAGACATGTTTCTAAGACCTCCCCGACACACACTGGTAATGTGACCCTAGACAAACAATAAATTCTCAGTACCCAAGGCAACTCTCTAAGACTCTCATCTCTAAAACTATGTTATAGAAAAGTTGCTGGTCTTAGTGGAGGGAGTTTCCACAGGAGGAGTTTCCTATACCAATGAAAGCACCTCCCAAAAAATTTCAGTACTATCATGCAATTAATATCATTGCATTATAACCAGAATTTTGGAACTAGAGTCAGGAAGACCTGAATTCAAATCCTGCTTCAGATACTTATTAGCTATGTAACCCTGGACAAATCCTTTAACCTCAGT